CAACCTGTCATTTTGATAAAATAATTTACATCTTTTTCAGTACTAAGTGCTTGTTCATTTGCATTTTATATATCTTCGGGTTTTCAACTTGTAATGAATAAAATGATGTTTGAAAATGTAACTAAATGTCTCGTGCAAGCGACTTCCAGAGCAAATCGTGAGTGATTGCGGAAGCTTTGAGAGAATAATGTTGTCCTATTTTCTAAAAAAAAGCGCGAAACATGCGAATAAACTGGTTACATATTTGTTTGAACTACATATCGGGTTGTCCCATAAGTCTTTTTAGACCTGACATTCTGCACCGGAGTAAAATACTTCCTGTTGAATTTCACATAGGAAGCGGGATACCTTTTGAAAGAGCAACGCAATCTCTACAAGATGACATGCTAACCCCCGCACCAAGTGTGACCTAAACAATGTTTTTTTAGAAATCTAAAAAGATACAAATGCCCAAAAAAATTTAAAAAATTGGATCTTCGCCCAGAAAGATCCTACGGACCTCAAACTTGCTCAACCATACATCAGAAACTTATATGTACAATTGCTGTGTTTTTTCCATTGCTGATAGTCAAAAAATAAAAAAATACATGTAAAGCTATACTCTGCTCCTCCTACATGAGCAGATCTAGTGTATAAACCTGTGATGCACGTACATTTTCACTCTTCTGTGAGCTTTACTTCTCGAGAAATATCAATATTTAGCACCAAAAACCCAGAAAAAAGGTATTTTCTGCGTTTTTCGTAATTTTGGCCTAATTTTGTTTTTCGATTTCTAACTATGGAAAAATTCAGCAAGTATTAACATAAATGTCGATGTAGAGGGTATGTGCGTGGGCATTGAGAGGTCAACAAAATTTTTCTGAGCTAAGATCCGATTCTTCGGCCATTAGAGAAGCTTATTTAGCTTCATACTTCACGCACACCTACAAATCCCGTGACACTTGAATCGACCTTGTAAAAAATCTGTTTTCGAGCCTCGCTAATTTCCTTCAGTGTTGTTGTACCGAACAAACTCTAGCATTGCCAACGTTTCTATATAGTCCCATTTGTTTGTGTAGTTGTTACTTCATCATCTTAATTTGTTTATGTCAAACACATAACCATCTTTCAGATTATTTCATTGGTTTTTTGAAATCTCATCAACTAATCATCTATTTTTGTCTGCATTTCTGAAAGCAACTGCTCCATTCGCAGTGATTTACGCACCAAAAATAATGCCTTAATAAGCCTTTACTTTCATTTCAAGATGACTTGTTGCTTTGCCAAAGTCTTTTTAGGCACCACGAATCTCTCAAAAACTGACATTGAGACCTATATGTAGTAAGACACCAAAAACATGAGTATCTAGTTTCCTTTACATGGCCGTTGCTTATTAGTTATGTTTCTTCGATATAGGATCTTTGTTTAACCACCAGTAACTTGATATCTATCACATACGTTGTTGCTTTTTGATGCTCACGACATTTTCCTGAAACGAAGTCTTCTTTGTAACTCTAGTAACAAAAAATTCAAAACTATTCGTTTTTCATAATCGTAAAATTTTACAAATACTATTTTATATTTTGGAGAGATGAGACTGAATTTGGCTGTGCTCAAAGCAAAAATAAAATCTGCTCAAAAATGCGAAAAGGTCCAGTAGAATCACTTCCAATTCTAATTCTGGGCCTCATCACATATCGTTTCTTATAAAGATAAATTTGTGCTAATCGGGTGCCTATACGGGGTTTGCGCACTAAATTTCAAAAAAAACCTGCAAGTTGCGTGATGATACAACATAGTACGATATAAAGAAAAATTTTATTGATTTTAGCATTTTTGTGGTAGAGCGAGACGTATTCCCACCTAGATATCTCGAATGGAAAGGCAAATAATAGAATGTTTATCTATTTATCTTAATTTTTATCTCAATCGTTTTTCTGGATCGTAATTTTTGCCATTTTTCAAGCTTTCTAGAAAAGTTCTGTACAATTACAAATTTTAAAAATAGCACGAAACTTCGGTTACCTGTAGGTATAATTTTTGGAATCTTACTTGTCCCCTAGCTTAGATCAATTTCTCGCGTAGCTCTTGTATCTCTCAAAATCGAAGGATATGCGTGATAGAAATTACGCGAGAAATGCATTCCAATTTTTTTTAGAAAAGAAAATGCAATGCTATGTCGTTGGTATTCAATACCGAGTCGTTTAGTGTCGTTTGAGTCATTTTAATGTATCATTGTGTAAGTGCATTTGAGTATGAAAAGCGCATTTCGTAACTTTTATAGCGTAGTAAGGTCGAATCAAATCGAGCGTGTTACTCGTCACATTTTCAGCTTTTTACTGGATTATTGCATGCTTTAAACGTATGGAGTTGAGTTTCCGATTTCTTTTTATCTTAAGCACAACTTGTTCTTCTACATCCATTGAGTTCTCAATAATTTTAGAAGATTGTGACATTATGCAACAAAAAGTAAAAAACTTCACTCATATAAGATAATGGATTCTATGCTAACACAGTGCCCTTGCGGTGACGGCAACAATTGCGCGGAAACAAACGCCGTGCATGTAAATGCCGCCAACTTGCTTGCGACTTGCGCGCGAAAAAAATGGCATACAGCCAAATTGTCCTTTTTTACACGCAAATGTTGTGGGCAATGCAATAACGCATAATTTACCACCAAATCTACTCGTTCACATCAAATGTAAATCGCCGTGCAAGCTGCTGGACTGCAGAAGTAGAACTAGTTGATTTATTTGATCATTGTGTCGGTTTAAATCTCAGTAATTTAGCAACAATAAGTTAAATAACATCCTTTCGCTTTTCTCTCTCTCCCCCCCCATTCCCTCATTCACACCCCTTTACGAAAGAAAATCGTGTGACAGACTCCTAGTGAGTATTCAGGGCATCGGATGCGTCTAATTGTTGACGCGAGTTAGTCAGGGCAAGCTGATAATCTCAGCTTTCCAGCAATTAGCCTCGTTCTTCTTCATTTTTCCCGAATCTCCGTGTCTCCTGTCGCTTCAGTCATTACTATACTACGCCAAATTTATCTTCTTCTCAGTGTGTTTATACTCCGTGTTCGGAGATCCAAGGAAATTCTTTGTCAGCTTTCACCACAACTTTGCGATGGCACTATGTCATGCAATATTCAAAATTATTTCGAATTATAATGTTGTGGTGATTACGGATGTAATCAAATTTACCGGAAATTAACAAAATTTTTTGGTTTTAAACCTGAGGTCTTCCGCTGACCATCTTGCTCTAGGGCGGAGCCCTTTAACAACGGACTCTTTCACGACCACCCGTAGATAAACTGTTAGACTTTTACAAATTCTAATTTCAAAAAAATTGCATTAATTAAGTGATTTGCAACTAGCAGGATCCAACCTTTTAACAAACAAGCAGAGTTCGGTGTGCTATGCAAAATCCTATCCAAGATAAATGAACTTCAAATGACTGCACATGCTTCATATGGGCTCAAGATAAAACAAAATATATAGTTAATAATAGTAACAGAAGTAAAGGTGCATTGGACGCTGCTCACATTAGCCAACCTCGTGGTTCAGAACGTATCATACCTTATGATATAAACATAAGAATTTCTTATCAGCGTGAAAAGACTTCGAAAATCAGCTGTAGGCATTTCCTTAAATTAGCAAGATAATTTTGTGGTATTTTTCGTGCAAAGAATGCCTACAAGACGAATCTTGGGCTTTTGCTTCTGTTTGGAGAACACTTCATCCGTCATTACAAGCAGCAGGATAGCGCTCACAACTGAGTGAATGAAAAAAAAGATGTCGTTATGTTTTACGACATTCGGGAACAAAAGAACGCAGTTGAGTTCAGCATTAGAGCGCATTCTACTACTCTGAAGCAACCTCATAAAGATTCTTTTCTTGATGGAATTGAACACAAAGGATTCTTCACTTTTCCACTGCTCACTCTTCCTCTGCTTGACTCGGTCAGTCCCTCAAACCTCGTTCCAGCGGCTAATCAGCTGGATGGACTTCTTCAAATTTTTGTCTTCCACGGACATGCTCTGATCTTCATGAAGCGCCAATATTGTAAATGATATGGGAATCATTCTCGAAAAGTTCGTGGTTCCTTTCATGGTCCATTTGTTGGCGGCATTTAAATCAGCAGACTTGTTGGTAGCAGATTCTTAAAGACTTTTCGTTCTCAATCGTAACATTCTCTAACACTATACTCTTAGCAGGGCTCGGCACGAGGTGGCTAGATGAAAATGCAAAAAACGAAGTCCCCCTTGACTTTTGGGTATTTTTACGAAGTCCCCTTTGACCCTAGACCATAATCCCTAAAAGTCTCCAGAAAATGAAACGTCGACTAAAAAAAAACGTCGCCAAATCGCCAATTTTGCGTGTGTCTTCGGTCACAAAAACGAAACCCCCTTTGCTTTTCGTCCCAAAAACGATGTCCAGCTTGCTTGTAAGCCACCTCGTGCCCGAGCCCTGACTCTTAGTATCTTTGTGAAAAACTTTTCTGCATTTTATGTGATTTTGCAAAGAAATAGTTGCTTTTTGGGTACGGCGGCTAGCGACGAAATTTTTTACTAGTCAATATTTTTAATGAAACCTGCTCTGTTTCGAGCTGCTCTCTTTCCGGAAATCGCCTAACATACTTCCATCCTGAGCAATCTTTCTTTTCTTCCACTCTCTCTCTCTCTTCCTCTTCTCTTCCCTCTCTAAACAAAATATCACAAGGTTCAGGAATCTTGCAAAATATTATTTTTGTGGGTAAGTGCGCTCGAAAACTCATCTGCATTTGAATTGATTATTCTCTTTATGCATAGCTAAATCTGTTATGGCTTCATGGATTCACAAAGAACAAGTCAACACAGCTGGTCACAATAGAATTCTCCTTTCATCATCATGTGGCCACCATTGTTGTTCCGACGCGTCTACCAAATTTCAAAATTCTTGTTCTTTTGAAATCTTGGAACGTAATGTTCATGTGCAAAGAATAAATCCAGCAATACGTAAGTACTCCGTTTATTTTCAGAAACTGAATGTCTACTAAACGTGCTAATCGAAAGGACCAGCGCAAAGCCTTGGCAAGGAGCAAAAGCGCGGCAAGGCCGAGACCTCCAGGACCTGGAAGGGATATTTCAAGGAGACCTTATGAGATAACAGTCATAGTTCTTGGTGCTACTAGGGTTAGATCATTTTAGTATCTTCTGGCTATTATGTGAAGAATAATTTAAATTACCCAAAAGTTTCGCGAGAATTCTAAAACGACGAAAGATTTTCAAAACTTATTATTAGTTGTTTGAACGCTAGCATTTAGAGCCATTGCACTGCAAATCCGCGGTAAGCCCTCTGTTGAATAAGATTTGGTTACCGCTGAATTTAACCGGAAATTCTTCAAGCCTTCCGCTTCTCTCCATGCTTTTTGACAAAACTCTGATTCAAAAGCATCAAAAACAGAAGTTGACAGTTCGATTAAGAGTTATGCGTAATTTCCAGAAATTTATTCAGTTACCTATTCAACTACTGGAATGAATAGAAGTAATAATAGTAATATCTGACTGAATGATGAATGAAACTGCATGCGCCTGAAATTTCTCTCTCATTTCTAGCTATCGATTTTGTCAAATGCATAAATGTTTAGGTTGGAAAATCAGCAATGGTTTCGCAATTTCTTTGGGAAGGATTCGTTAGCGACTACAGACCAACAGTTGAAGAATTCAACTGGATAGAGTATGAGTTAGGAGAGGGCAGCGCGCTAATGTTACAGGTGCGGTTTAGTTCTTTGAACAAATAAGCATTAGCAAGATTAAAAAATTTCAGGTTATTGATTCTAGCGGATCTCGTGACTTTCTTGCAATGCGACACTTCTATATTAGAACGGGTGACGCATTTTTGGTAAGCAGTATTTTTACAAAAATATCTGTGCCTTGGGTGTTCATATGGTCTGTTACAAGCATTAGCATTTCTTTGATTCTAGCTAACATTTAGGCTCAATGAAATTCGACAAAGCTGCGCTCATAATTTTTTTACCTTAAATGGATCCAAATGCAGTTTTTATCAAATCGATCCCTCTTTCACCGCCATCTGCGTTTTTCAAAATCACTTATAAGTTTATGAGCCTATTCAAATCTGTGCCTCAATATTCGTTGTACCTACTATTGAATTTCATTTACCACGTAGAATAGGCTTGGTAGTCAAATAATATTATTGATGAATTTCCAGCATGCTATAAATAAAACGTAGATCACGAAAAGGAACAATCTATGTCGTGCAGGGTTTCATTTTTGATTTTCCAAAATGCACCAAGGAGCTCGGTTCCGTTGTATCTTCTTTCTAAAGATTATATTCTCAAACTTCTCTTTCTTTATTTCTCTTACAACATATATATCCTTGTGGTTTTGATTTTTAGCCTTCGAAATATTCAAAACCAATGCGCCTTCACGGACTGTTTTGACAGACCATACAAGAGTGAACAATTTTCTAATAGTTTTGTCCTTCCAAAATGATAATTGTAATGCACAGAATGCGCTGTTTTGATTCTCGCACTTTCAACGGGTTGCAAAATCTCTGAAAGTTACTTACTTGGGTTATAAAAATGTGCAAGTGACTTATTTACACTTGTAAATAAACGAAATAATTTTTTTTTGAAATTAGTCTTGTGAAGAATTTTTTTTCGGGCATGGTTGCCGCCTTGCCCCCTTTTTCTGAGATTTCGAGGTCATGAGCCCGCAAGTTCGGTGCATGGCTAAGCTAACGTCACACACCTTTATCAAAAAAAATGTTTGCCCATCCTCCCGAACAGAAGTTCTGGGACCGCCAATGCTACTAATATACTACTTATCAACAAAGTGCACAAATATGACCCAACCCTTCATGGCGTGTTGCTTTCAGGTTGTGTTTTCCATCGACGATGCTCAATCTTTTGAAGAGGCGAAAAGGATAATTGAGGAAATACAAGAAGAGAGGAATAAAAAAGTGAGAAAAAATTTCAAAAAGTTACATCTTAATTCCAAAATTCTTCTCGCACAGGTGCCAATCGTTCTTGTTGCGAACAAATGTGACCTTTATGCAGACATTATGGATTGGAAAGTTAGGGGGTCCCACCAGTACGCCTACACTCATTCGATTCCCATTATGGAGTGCAGCGCTAAACGACAGACAGAGGTGCTCAGTTATTCGTACTCCTTTCCGGCGCATAATTACCCTGCTTGAGGTAGCCGAGGCATTCAAAGAACTTCTCGAACGACTTCGTGATGAGAATAGGATAGGGATCACCAATTTAGTGAAGCGAAGGTATGGCTGTTCTTCAAAAGAATTTCTTCTCTCTGCTCTCCTTAAAAATCTCTTTCCAGACAATCAATGCCGAGTACCCGAGCCTACAGCGGTATCGATGTGGCGGATGTGGAAAAGCTGAAAGGCAAACAAAAATCAAGTTGTGTGATCTCTTGAGATCTGATTCTGTGTTTTGACTGCAAATTTCTCTCCGCTCAAACTGCTTGCCACCATTACTAGACATCCGCTAGCCTACTATGTGTATATTCTCTTCGTTCACCAATCTATTGATAAATAGTGACGGGTGCAGAAAGCTTTACTATAGAAATAAATATTGAGAAGCTGTGACTCAAGGTGTGCATGACTCGATTCTTGAGCAAATCGTGCCTCTCATGGGGCATTTACGTGCCTCGGCAGTGTCGGTCCCAGGATTTCCGTCCGGCGGGGGGGGGGGGGAGGGAGACGAGAATTGTTTCGGATAGAGGTGCATGGCGTTAGCCACGAACTACGAAAAATCTTCTCCCAAAATTTTTGTGCGCCCGTAACACCAAGATTCGAAGAAGGCGGTGTGCGAGGAAATTTCTTACTAGGGTAATACGAATTTTTTCAAATATTTTGAATATTTTTTTGATTGTTTACAAGTATAAGCAAGTCAATTGCACACTTTTCAAAGGCAGTGTCTTATCAAAATTTGTTTGTCCAGATTTTTGCATATTGCAAGCCTTTTCTTGCTCAATCCGGGTTCAAACCCCGTTTTTTGGAAGCCCCGTAGAAGCAACGCGAATGAGTTGTGCCTTCTCAGACTAGTCTTCGCCACAGCGGCAGCAAACACCTTGGAGGTGGACGCTAAGTGGAGGGACAATTGAAACGCGTAAGAAGGAAACCGGAAGCGTCGGCCGTGCGGACCAAATCGTGCTCTATGGGTCACTTTGATGGCAAATTTCTCAGCCGAGAAGGGCCCAGGTTGAGTCGGACTTGGGGCGGTATACTGTTCAGGCGCCCACTTAACAAAATATGTGGAGACGCGCAACATCCCAATTTTAGTGAGACACTGAAACCTATGTAAGTAAGTGAGTGAGAAGCTTGCAGCAGAAACTTCTGCATCCTTTGTAATTCGGACGACCTCCTACTGAGATCACGACTCTGCCGGAGGCCCGGATTACCGTTACTCCAACGAATCTGTTTGATGTAAGGTCGAGTTACCTTTCGAAAATTATACTGTACCCAAAGTGGTGAAGTGGAGCACAAAGTTGGCTGATATGCAATAAATGATTCGCAGCAGTAGCACGTCCACGAAAATGTCTCAAAAACATTATTTGAGTTTTTTCAGTAGATTTGCCCCTTCTTTGTAATTACAATACTTACAATCACTGTAACTACGCACCTTCAAGCTGGTTTGCAGCAAATTATTTTCGTTGGGACTCGAACAATTTTACATATTTAAACGCTCATTCCTTGAGCGTATGATAATGCAGAAAGGCCGATAATGAACTTATTTTCAAAGTCAGCGTTTCAAGTCCAGTCCGATGACACATGTGTAGCTTGATTGGAATGGCTCAGAAAAGTTCTGACTATTCTCTAGTATTGTAGGAAATTGTAAGAAAAACTGTAGACCAGACTTGAAAAGACATGAGGACATTTCAAATTATTAAGAAGGATAACAGCTTCAAAAGTCATCGATGCTTGAATAAGTCAATCAAAAAGTTGCACCTGACATGCGCATGCGTAATCAGGGTGACAAACCTGATGAGATTTCAATCAATCTGTTTTTTCAGCTTCTTCATTTCTCGATTAAAGGAAGTGCTATTAGAAAACGTCAAAAGTTCGTGCTGTAGACTTTGCATCACTGACGTACGGACTAAAACATCATGATTGATCAAAAAACGATAACGTTTTCTCCATCACCTGAGGTAAATAAACATAAAATGTGCTCACGCGATTGGGCCGAATCGGCACTTTCACGCGACTTGGCGATTTGCCAGATTTCCACAAATCAATCGTGGCCGCTTCTCGAACGCATATCTGGGTAGCTTATGTAAGTTGTTGCAAACGCATCAAATTCTGACCAAAGGCAGCGCATTAACAACGAATAACGAAGAGCCGCTGGTGTGTCAAATCGCGTAGCGACTGGAATCGCACGAGGTATGCCTTAGGCCTTAGAGGGATTCAGATTAGTCTCACCCCATAGATCGTGAAGACTAGTATAAGATCATAACTTACTATATGAGAGGCATTCAAGGCTGAGCCTTCAATCACTGTTCATAGGTAGAAGAGCGAGGGTATGCTGAATTAGAAAAAACAGCGATAATTGTAGTTCCGTAAAGACGCTTTCTGAACGCTTTCCAAGGTCTTTTGTTTCGCCACAATGGTTGCCTGAACGTTGCAGTTCTTCACAATGCGATTTTCGTTGTTGTATCTTCATATTCAACTGTCGTCCGCATACATAAGTTATGTAACATTGAGATACATTTTCAATATCTGAGGAAGATCGGCTATACAGATAGTAGATAAAAGAGATGAGGAAGACATTCAGAGTAGGCCCCATTGATACGAATGGTCTTATGCCTACAATGCAAGTAAGATGTAAGCCAGTCTACGAGAGAGCCTCTAGTGCTTGCTTCAATGTTCAGTTTTATACAGTATTTTGTCATGACTTATACGATTCAACGTGATAAGTCAAAATAAATGACTTTCATTTTTTTACCATTCACGAAGCTTCAATCCATTATGAGTACAATCTGCGTAACCGTTAATGCTCCAGAAACCCACGCTGCTTAGTGGAAATTATCTTAAGCATGATAAGGCCAGCCTCAGCATGGGTGTTTGCGCGGGTTGCCGCAAAAAATATTTAAGTACATAAGACAGAAGACAGACAAACGCACTTTGCTTTAGCTGGTGCCCATAAGGAAGTTAGGGATTCGAGTAGGTCATGAAAAGTGGTGATTGACTGGATTTTACTGCTGTTACTTTGCTGAATGTTTCACGCGACTTGAGATTACATTGGAATGCGTGCGCATCTATTAGGTTTTCCCAATTATTCATTAACTTATCAACCTTTCGACTTAGTCAGTTGAAAGAATATTCTCAAACATTTCAGCATTATACAACATTTCAACTATTATACCAGGTCAAGGAAGTCTGCCTCAGGAGACTTCTTTCTTTCTTTTGCGTTCCGCTCTGATCGAATATATTTTTCACCGCTTTTGCAATGTGCTCAAGTTCTCATTTGATGTACCGATTGAGGTACGAAGTTTTCGACGGCGTAAGCGGCGTGAATTTATATTCTGACAGCCCTCTTGATATACTGATTACATACTTTCTTTTTGGAGGCAAGTTTGTGGGCTCCATATGGCGCTGCTTGAGTTTCCTCGAGTCTTGCCTCTCTTACAGTTTGCCCAGTTGATCCTCGTCAATCAGAAAGATTTCGTACTCGATGACCCACTTATAAAACGCGAAGATTCTAATCTTTACTCGGTCCATTACGATCATACTAAAGTATATCTCCGAGCCCGCCGCCTTATACACTTCGGGGCTAGGCGAAGGGCGACGGCGGACTCCGAATGGTCGCCTTGATTCTTCACTCGTGCGTTGCGGGACCTAAGCAATATTTGTTGATCCTTACCTGCTTTTGCTGATTTCATTCGATTGTGACTGGATTGATCAATCTTCTCTCCCTATAAATAAGTGATGTTTCGAATCTCCTTCATCTTCGTAGAAGGCATATCCAATTTCTATTATTAGCTGCAGAGTTGATGAAAGTTAATGATGCTGATGGTCTTTTGATGTAGAGAGTGGAGGTAGGACGGCCAGTCTAGGTAACAAAATCTCATGCTATTACAAAGGATCAGCAATAGATAGTGGGCGATGAAACCAACACTTCCGAATGGTGAAACTTTCTTTATTACACAAGATTCCCATCGTTCGCCTTAACCACGTCCTTCTTCCTAGTGTTCCTTTCTGCAGAGCGAAGACGTTGAAATTGATGTGCTCTGCAGCATCAGGAAGGGTGTAGACGCTTACGATAGTGGAAGCGGAGTAGATCTTCCATTTTAAAGCATCTCACGTTGCATAACATCTTGCTCAACCAAATAGCTTCCTTACGTGCAAATTCTCTTGAGTCTGTATTCCTTTTATTGTTTAATATTCTATACTGCAAACAACTAATGCCGAGCTAATGCGTCCTGTTAAGGGGTGTTTCCAAATAACAAAAATTCATGTCTTTCTCTACCCGCGAACTATTGTAAATGACAAGGTAGTTACTGATACAAATGTTTATCAGGCAATGTTTCTGACATCATTTATGGTAGCCACTCTTCCTAAATTTCATATTGACACAACTAGATCAAATAATATAAAGCAATATGGAAGGAACGACGAAAACGAAAACGCTGAGGAGACTAAAGAATTGAGAAGATTGCTGTTCCTAAGAGAAACCAGTTGGCTAAGCGCTTCGAACTCTTTGGACGATAATAGTGAGCTCCATCGTAGTCGTTGCAGAGAGGATCATTACAGCATCGAGTGCACTGCGTATAGAAAAGTCCGTAACCATGTTCTTCACATCCTAGGCACGCACTGATGTGATTATAACAAACGTTGAAGGATTTTTCCTACGATTTTTAAACATTTGTCAGCAAAGAGATAACTTGATACGATATGCGAATTCCAAGGTTTCAGAGCCTAAATTTTGCTGAAACTCGGTGGAGGAGGATGTGTCGGTTTGCTGATGACGAATATCATATTAGTTTGGTACAATAGCCCTTTCTAAGGTTAGGATGTGTAGGGGCCAAAATCACAACCTGATTGAAATGGTCAAGGGGGTCCATCTGAGTTACTCGACATGCTATGTTACATATCATGCTCTTCGCTTGAGGCCTTTTTGTTAGCTTTTAGAGATCTAAACTGACCTAAAAAAAGGTTAGATGACTTCTAAATCCTAGAGAAAAGTGTACAGCTTATGAATCAGCAATTGACTGGATTTGGCTCTACCTGCCTTTGAAAATTGTAGTGAGATTTCTATATTTCCCACTTTTTCTCTTGCCGAACTCGCGTGCAAGGTCTCTCGGTTGCAAAGCCCGTGGACACCAGATTTCTGTTTTCCCATCCGCTAGAATCTCTCCCCGTGTCTCTCGATATACTGGGTGCAAGCTCTTTCTTCGGATCTACAAAGTTGAGTTGATGGTCCATGGTCACGTAAGTGCAGTCTTGCGGCAAGGAAGCAATATGATTGTAAGCCTCCAGCAATCGCTTACTGTTGTGGTGACAGGTTGGCGATGAGGTGAAAAAGCGAGCGTCGAATCAACGTACGGTCTCCACGAAAGACCTCCCACTCCCCCTTTCATAATTTCCAAAGAGCCATTGATGTTTGCAGAAATCTACCAAGTTTAGAGTTCCTCTTTTACCACAAACTCATCGATTTCGACGGCGTGACCAACTTTTAAATCGGAAAGTAAGTGTTCGCAATGTACGTCTCTGAACTAATGTTCCCAAGGCGATTGTATGCCCTGTCCCGCTTGCACTCCTTGCCCTTGACTAGTGCGATGTTGTGCAACCAGAGGTAAGACAGGGAAGATCTTAGCAGAGACTACACGTAGGGAAAAACGATCCATTCACGCTCAAGCTCGGCTTGGCTTTCCCTATAATTAGGCCCGAAAGGCAGTCCCTCCTGTGGCAAGATCAGCGCTTTCGAGAAATGTCGACGTCAGCGCAAATCGCAGGTGGACATAAATGCATATTTTCGATTGTTTAGAGATAGGGCGTCAAAACTGAAGGTTGTTTCAATATCTGCCCCTCTTTTCTCTCTCCCCCCCCCCCATGAAAAGTGAAAGTTGTTTGAAGGAAATAAAAAAAGATGCAAAACAATTAGCAAAAGCAGAAGAAACTCTTGAACACCTGATACAAACGCCCTAAAAGTTTGAAATTGTTCATCAGGCGGCATTTTTAAGTTGCAGGTTTTCGCTCCAGGACCAGGCAATGCACATTGGGGAAAACGAGGAAGACTTATTCCTTTTTAGTGATTGTATTAGAAACATCATATTGTGGAAGATGGTCATCAAGGAAGATAAACGAGAAAAGAATCAGTTCTGAATACGTAGTTTTGTATTTATTGAGTCGAAATGCAAACTGCCGTGGCTATCCCTAGAATACTTGTGGCTTGAAGATGAAGTAGCCCTAGGTTATCCTCGTGAAGTTCGCTGGTAGGAGCATGGACGTCAGGCTTGTAAAAATACCTACTGCTGAGTTATCGAACAATCGGTAAATAAACGTGCGTAGAGGACTATATGTCCCCGAAGAGGGAGGCCTTGCGCGGACATTCGCAACAGATACGCACGTGGGTCCTCGTGGAACTTTTTGCTGCAAAGTGCAGTTCTCTACCCAATAAACAATGACCCCTCTTCCACTAGTACCAATGTAATACTAGTAATCAGAAAGCCGATAAATGTCCGCCTTTTGCTCTCTCTCAAACTTCACCTCAATCTGTGCCTTCGACTTCATACCGCACACCTGATTAACTCCACAAAAACGCCTTAACTTGCGTAAGGAGCATGACGTTAATGTTTAGCATGTGCATGTCAAATAACACCTCATCCTTCTGAAAGGCCAAGTTCAACGATCCGTGATTTTGATATCTTATAGTATACCCATCTGAACCCTTTCTTAGGAAATCATTATTATATTCGGCATCAAGGCTCGCTCAACCCCCTTGGGACAAGTTTAGGAGAAATTGTGGTTTGATTTCTACCCTACAACCACCGTAACTTTAGAAAATAGCGCTACCATACGAAACCAATTGATATTCGGCATCAGCGGGTTCAATAATCTCTCTAGACCAAATATGAAGAAATCCTACGGGTTTGAAATTCTGGAGCTAGCTGCTGGGTTCCAGAGAAGGCAAACGTCATGTAAGGGTACAATAATCACCAAAAAAATTGGGAGACATGCATGTTTTTGAAAGCAAATTTTATGCTCGATCCCACAATCACTTTGGATGCAATGTTGCACTCACCTTCTTTGCAGAACGCGGCGCAATCCCTATCTATTGTGACGAAAAATCCATTGAGATTTGTTACGGTCGACTGAAACACATTTATTTTGGCAAAAAGTGCAAACTACAAGCGAGACTACATGCTAGATTCCAAAACTCTGCAGCTGTGGAGTATAAAGATTGTAATTGTAATAATACGCTGTGGTAACGTTTATGTTCAACTAGTTGGCTTTCCCGGTCCAGCCCGGGTCATTGATCACCTACCTGCAAGCCCCCCCCCCCTTCTTTTATGTTGTGGATGACTTACCCTGGGACCCGCTTCGACGAAACCGCATCCTCGTGATCCTGAGGTGAAAATGAGCTTCAACGCCCTCCTTTACATGAGTATGGAAAATGCTTGATTGAACATGATAACCCTTCAATTCCTTACTAAAATGTAAACAAATCAATAAATCGATAGAAGGACCCAACGAATCGCCGCAAAAAGTAGTCTATCATCTGCGCAAGGGTCGAAAACGTATATGTGCAAAGTTTCAGCTGAATCGGTTGAGTGGCGCGCGTTTCTATAACGCACATACCCTCCAAACTGACAATTTTTGAGTTTTATATATATATATATAGATTACTAGCCATTTTTTTTTAGTTCAAAATTGCAAAATTTAGTGTGTAAATATTTGGAATTTTTGCAGTACATAAGTATAGTACGAAGGATATGGTTATATTTTTACAGGCAAACTATCAGCTAGGCTCTCACTGGCAATGAGTTATCTTGAACGCAAACAATATGACCAAACGACCTCAACCGAAGCTCAGTAGTTACGATGTCTGATTGTCATCTACTCGTGTACTTGAAATACTTGAAAATAAACTGAAGGTTTGCAATCAGAAACGGAGGATGTTTTCAGGCAATCTTTTTGGGTGATTTGAAGTAACTTCAAACCTTGATTCAAACTGTATACAGATAAGCTCAAAAGTAAGTAAAATATAAGCTCACAATGCAGAATTTCTCATTAGCAGCGCATTGCCGCCTCAGGTCCATCCTTGATCCAAACTTCAAATGATTCATGCAGTCGGGGTTTTGATTTACACCATCCAATTGATCCTTCTTCTTTCTTGAATGGATACAGTAGTTGCATTGAAGAGGTTCCTCCTAGAAACACTATCAAATCTTATATATAAAGCTGAATGTCTGTCTGTATGTATGTCTGTATGTCTGTCTGTACGTATGTGCGGAATAGAAATTTTTATTTCTGAACCGATCGGGACCAAACTTGGCACACATATACTTCGGGGCAGGGAGCGTGTCATAGGTTTGCCATCTAGTAATAAATACACATCACACTATTTAGTCCTCCGACTTTCTAGAGATTTGATTCCGTGAAATGCTATTCCCACTTCGAACGAATGACTTTGTTTGCTAACCAAATCACTAAAAACAAGTATCGACACTTTTTGCTCAAATCTTGATACTGCATTTGAATTGCGTCATTTTTAGTACCCAAAATCTGACATACTAGGTTGTTCCGAAAGTTCTGTCCGATTTCTCGTCGCCTTATATAAGGTATCCTTTTTCTCTGGATTTCTGCACTCGTTGCAGTTATATGAAATCACCTAGAAGCTTTTCTTGCTCTTCCCAATGCTTATCAGGTCTTAATAAAACAACTTTCCGGTAATAAAGTTTCAAGCCTCAAACCAAGTTGCCGAAATGCAGTCCTATTCCGACAAAAGTTTCTATGAAGAGAATTTCCAATCTGATGTAAAATTACCTGTGTGATATTTTCTTATGAGAGAGGGGTAATGGGCTCAATGGGCTGACATACGCACACTTCTATTTCCATATAGAAAATGTCTTACTTTGTAAATCAGTTTTTAAAGAATGGAGGATCCCGCAGTTAATCTACAAGCTACAACAATCTAAGTATAGCGACATATGATGTATTCAATATTGCATGTATTAAAGTAGAGCGAGAGCAAGCAGGGGCTATCGGCCAAAAGCTTTTCCGCAAGAGCAAGAAAAAATCAAATAACAGAAAGCCGGCATACTTGCGTACGCGAAGGAGGGATCAAATAATGACATTTTTTGATTTGCTCAGAAGTATTTGCAGCAAGGAAAACATCTTTTTTCAGCTCTAAAATCTTTTAGATATAGGCTACTCAATGATGCAGCCAAATATGTCTGCCAATCCTTTTATGGGAGCCTTATATGTCAAAATAGACAGTCTTGAAGGCAATCTTGCAAACTCTCCAAATTTTTTCTTCTCTCTCACTTGCTTTCTTCACATGGCATACTGTATTTTTGATAGTTATAAGCGCGCTTAATCTAACAAAATTTGATATGTACAAAAGTGTTGATTTCGAGAGAAATTATGACTATTTCAATCAAAAAATCTGCAAATCGGACAAAGCTTTCGGAACAATCTAGTATAGGGCCTCCCCGCAGATAAATCGTCTACAGAGGAGTCTGAAACAAATAAGGCCGCTTCGACTTACGAGAAGATTTGAAATAGTTATAATGGAAAAAAAGGATTTGGACATAGGGCGCTCAACAGAAAACGGACTTATCCGCACTTACCTGGGTCATAAAGCTGACTTAAACATCAGATTCTAGTGTATCTAAATTTCGTTCAAAAATTTCGTACTGTGTTAGCAGTCAGTGCATGAAAATCTTACGTCCTACAAAATCGATGGTTTTTATGCACCTATCGTGCTTCTTCATACCAAGCGCACTACCTCACTTGTGAACTTTAATGACAGCACTATTTAACCAAATTTTCACAACAACAACTGTACATTAGTAATCCATCGTTCTAGCGATACGTGAGGAGAACACACATGATCTTACTTAGCACTGTTGATAACGCAATACATTTTCGTTCTATTTATTGTAATCAAAATCCGGATGGTCACAAAAATAAAACAGTATCGGTGATACTCTGATCAAAACTCGAGCAAAGCTCCGCGTTAACTCAGAGATAAGTCTGAGTTCCGCTTTTTGAAACTCAGAGTTATATTATTGAAACGCTGGGTCCCGCTTTCAAAGTTTCGAATTTTAACTCTCAAGCTCGGATTTCGCTGTTTGAAGAGCTGTCATACACTTTTTGGCGAAAGGATGTTGAAAGTGGGACTTGAACCTGTATGGTTTAGCGCAAAGTTCCTATCACTAAACCGCTAGGCCATCACAACCCTGTAAGTTTAAAGTTGCTTTGCCATAATTATTGCATTAACACATAGCATGTCATAACAAGTTAGATCAAAATCTCCATTTTCATTTTCGTTAGAAGTGGTAGTTTATCGCGCGGATTGGTCTTTTCTGCAGCTGAAAGTTCCACAAAATAGTGAGAGCGGATGGCATACGCAATTATAGGAACGGACTATTAGGCTTTGCGCACCAATTAAAGCCTCCGGGCAAGATTTGCCCCCTGTTCTATGATTTGGCCCACTTACTCTATGTCTACCGTATCCTCGCCAGACGACACCGCCGCATGAAGGGTTTTTTTTTTCAAATAGTGGTTGGCGCCAAAAACTCACTGGATCGAATTTTAACCGTGCTTGTGATTTCATCCCATTTATTGTATACTACCGTAATCCACCAAATGACACCAGTGTACATAGCAGGTAGGCTGTCCGTAATTTGCGCAACGAATAACCCCACGGGCCTGAGTTTGACTAATTTTGTGATTTTCTCCTGTCCACCGTAAACCTAGCGCAGGCCGGCTATATGACCCCATGGTGAAAATGAGTAACATATTTGTGATCAGCGCACCGATAACTCCCTGAGACAAGACTTTACAAAATCTCAAAATTTCGTAAACACTGCGCACGGCGATATCCTCACTATGCCTGCTGAAACTACGAGCAAAATCACTCTAGAACACGCCGCCCGTGATGTATGAACTATTGAAAATGATCGCCCGCTTTCAAAACGAGAGATTAATGCATACCGCCCCTGGTCGAAACCAACGAATGACGTGATGGTTTGATCATGATTACGCCGTGGTAAACATGATCATCTTTTTACGGCCATTCACTTCAATCGGTCATCTATATATATCCTCAAGTCATTTGTAACTTAATATGTGAGTGTGCACACTATGCACGGCAACCGACGGCAATCTTAGTAGTAACTATTCACTGAAACCCTTTTTAGCGTAGTAAACTTTAAATATGTGTTATGCTAACTAATACGTAACCATCAAATCAAAAGAGGCAAGGAACAAGAAGAACTCACTGGAAATGAGCAGGTCCTAATCTTGCAAGTTCGTCAAGTAAGGCGCATTATGTGCATTACACATATTAAGTTACAAATGACTCGAGGATATATAAAACTCAATGTCTGTGAGGATGTTCGTTTAGTTGTTCGCTCGTTATAGAAACGCCAGCCATTGAACCGATTGAGCTGAAACTTCGCACACATAGGTTTTCGGCCCCGGCGGTGGTTTATGGCTATTTTTTGAGGCGATTCGCAGGGTCCTTCTATTGATTTATTGATTTGTTTACTTGAATCTGGGAAAATGAAAGTTAGACGTGCTCCAAACAATCATTTTCCAATAAACATGTAAGTAGGGGTAGTAAAGTTCATTCTGATCTCAAGGTCGACAGCATGCAGCGGATTCGTCTCAAAGCGCTTTTTGCGCATTGCAGAAGTTAGAAAGTGTGAGTATGATCAGCTTCCAGATTCGTATGGGGGCGGGCTACGGACTTTACCGGTTTTAAGGAAAGCTCAACGAGAAAGTACGAAATACAGTGTTAAAACAGTGTTTAAACAGTGTTTAACAAGTTTGTTCTGAAAATTAAGGAAGTGTGCAACCCTCCTCTATCCGAATCTGGAAGCCAATGACATTTTGGTGGATAGGGAAACGAACTCCGCCAGTTTGAGCCGGCCTTTGCTGGCAACTGGTCCTTTTCAAATATTGTTGACTGTGGTTGGAGGACCAGTAGTCTGCGAAGATGTTTCAAACTGGCGGATTTCGTTGCCCTACCTCATCTTGGTTGAACTAAAAGTCTCGGGCGAGACCGGGTCATCAGCTAGTATTAAATAAATCATGAAACAAGCAGGTATATCGGAAAACCATAGATACTTGTTTCATGCTTGTTTCATTCCAAGCCAGATTACAAATCAATCAGCAGGTTAGCACCATTGTTCCCTTAGCAAGTAGAGTAATGAAAATAGCATTTTATTTCATAAGACGCAGAGGTAAAATCACCACATCATAGCTTAGAATGAAAAAGTACCCCTAACCACTTTTTTCGTTTGAAGCAATGATGTGTTGGTTCCACATCGTATTAACGCGAAGCATTGAAGTAGGGTCAAAAGTCATTCTATGGTGCTACTGATGCCCAATGAACGTAACACACAGTGGATTAAGCGTTTTTGAGTTAGATCGACTCAAGAATTCATTTGAAGGAGGAGGCAGTCGGCCCAAACCTTTTTAACAGCGAGAAATTTCGCTAAGCAGTAATTCAACAGAAAAATTTGACAAGTTTTTTTAAGTGTAATGAACTAATCCTATAGTGGCTGCCAAAAACAAGACATTGGATGCTAAATTGAATGGACCATTGAGATCGCGGCGTAATCAATGATAAGAGAACCCTCTGAACAGCAAAGCTTGGGATTTTATTGTCAACATGGTGCTTGAAAATGAGATTATTCTTTCTCTGGTTCAGAGTGACCGTTTCTTGAGCGCAAACGCGCACAGAAAAGACGTGAGGGGGGCAATTTTAAAGGGCAGTTTTGAAGAAGGTTCAAAAAATTTTGAATTTCAATAGTCATTTCTCTTGAAAATCATTGGAAATCCACTCACTGCTAAATTTTCCGCGCCTGGCAAATTCGCTAGCTCTATTCCTGCACGGCAGTAACCACGACTTACAAACAATGAATTGTAACAATATTCCTGGATGATTTCGCGCCATAACCACTCTGTGCACCACATCTGAAATTTTTAGAAGCACCTCAAAGTGTCACCAAGGAAAATTTGGTGCGGGTTCGTCGCAAGATATCTCACACCTATTGACGCCTGAATAAGCTTTTTTTAGTAAAGT